TTATGATTGCTGGTGATCATCACTGGCAAGGCAGGCCACAGCACATAAATAGAGAGCAAACCCCAACCCATTTTAGCACTGAAGATGTTACCTAGCCGGGTAATGAAACGTTTGCAAAGCTCAGAGAACCCCAAGGAGTCCACAATCTGGAGACAGTTATGCTTTTGATAAGTTGAACTAGAAATATAAAATAACAACTTAGGCTGCTGTTTCTTGCTGACTGCAACCCAGAACTTCAAGAGAATATACTGTAGTATTGTATTGGGGGTCTCATTTGTTCATTACCTATTTCTTTTAAAATATATACCACATTTGTTAACATTTAATAACATTCACAATAGAGATAACAATATATATGAAAAATAATACTGAAGAACCCACTAACACAATTAAAAATATATTGTTTCCGAATGAATAAAGACCAATTAAGATACAAGTATAAAATACTAATTAAAATCTTTGATGAACATGAATTCATCCAAGAGTAAGGAAAGAATCGATGGATGGAAGCTTTTACAGAGGGAGATCTAAACTTGAAATAAGGAGCTCCTGACTTTTGAGACCTATTAAACAGTGAAACAGCCTGCCTCCTGAAGCTGTGGGTGCTTCATCACTGGAGATTTTCAAGAAATACTGGACAGCTATTTGGCTGGGATGGCATGTGGGTATCTGCACTGGGTAGGAGGTTGGACCACCAGGATCTTCCAGGTCCTTTCCAACCCTATGATTCTATTAACAAATCCAGTTGAATCTTAACATGCAAAAAAAACTGCCACTCAGATCTTCTCAGAAAGCATTCCATAATCATGACATTCTTAAAACAAGTAGTACTGTGACCATAGTGCTGACACTAAGAAACTATCTCCTTGGTCATTATCTACCTTGCTTCTGAAGGCAACAATATTCAGAGAAAACCTTATGCAACAATTATTTTAAAACACACGTTGTATTAATTTATTGTAATTTTCCATAACTTGGTTTGGTCATACTGGGTGAGATCATGGAAGCTATAGTCCAATGCAAGGCACTAGAGATGGAAAGGCTGATTTCTTACACTGATATTCTACCTTTCCTCCAAACTACTCTGAGAAGGGTGCATTTTCCCTTCCCTTTCCTTCACACTCTGTGAGATAAACTAGGCTGACTAGATCATTACCAAATTGGGATTTAAACTCAAGTAACTTAGTCCTAGTCCAACACTTGTATTACTAGAATTCCTGATGACATCTCAGTTTTGATATTCATTGTCATATCCAATTTTAAGCACCATATCTTAACTACACAAATGATGCAATTATGATTCCATATTCATTCTTAACTTAGACACATAATATTTAAAGTTGGCAGTTAGCCTGCAGACATTTCCTTCCACTCCCTAGCATAAAAACAATTAACAATTACTTCTCTTTCATACCACTGATGAATTCTGTTCAAGTGCATAGCCAGCCCAATTTACTTGCTGCTACACTTTTAGTCCTCCTCAATGAAGAAAAAATAAAACAAGTTATACAAAACTCACTTATCTCCACTTGGAAAGTTGGACATGGAAAGTCTTAAGCACATCACAGTCTAAGACCTCCTCCTCCTCCTCCTCCTCCTCCTCCTCTTCTTGCCTTTGAGTCATTGTTGACTCCTGGCAACTGCCTGAACAAGTCCCTGCAGTTTTTTTGGCAAGATTTCAGAAGTGGTTGCCACTGCCTCCTTCCTAGGGCTGAGAGAGAGTGACTGGCCCAAGGTCACCCAGCTGGCTTTGTACCTAAGGTAGGACTAGAACTCACAGTCTCCTGGTTTCTAGCCTGGTGCCTCGACCACTACATCAAACCAGCTAAAATCACTTTACTAACCAGCTACTTTAGACAGATCAATAATTATGGTCTTGGAAGTCAATTCCAAGACCATAATATTTTTAATCATCATGATCATTGCCTCACCAATGCTATATTTTATTATGTTTAGGCTTAGCTATTTTAGCCATAATTTACACAGGAGTAAAGAATTTGTGGTCCTCCCAGATTGTTGTTGAATGGGGATTTCCATCAGTCCTTGCCAATATGGCAAATAGTGAAAGAAGCTTGAAGTTCATCAACATCTGGGGGGAGAAACCTTGTCCCATCTTATGTGCTGCATACAGAGAAGCTTGTATCTTTCCATGAAGCACAGAATATTGTATATCACTTACAGTTTGTTACTCATACATACAACTGTGTCTCACCCGTATAATTAATGAGAATTAGGTACATTCATCCATCCGTGTAAAGGTCTAACATTCTGTTTCCTGCAGCGATGAGAGCATGAGCTACAGGCTTCTCTCTGGGTCCTACAGTTTGTAGCAGACCCCTTTGTTTTCATTCAATGGTTGCTAACTGACATTCAGTGAGGATTAACAGCTGTCTTGCTTCTCCAGATGCTTCACAGGTGGCAAATTATTAGTTTCAATAACTGTCATTATGTTTCAGTTTTGATTAAAAAAAACCAAATATTTTTATCTTGACTTTTAATGTTAATGATGCTCACTTAAACCAGATGTTTCTCTCTGCTGCCTGCAATGCAAAATTAATTGAATAAAATTCCAGGACAGTTATGTTACTTAGGTGCACCAAAATATCACTTTCCCACAGCCTTCTGTCAATGACATTAGTTTGTTTAAATGGTTAACAGAGTCCATCAACTTTTTCTTACTTGATCTTCAGCCCTTGTCTATGTTCTTCTTCTTCTTCTAAGCTGAAATCTATCACAATCTCTGCTAAATCTTAACGGCCACCAGGAGGAGAGCAAATACAATATTGTGTACTGTGTGCTGGATTCCTGTTTGCAGGAATGCAGTAAAATGATCAAACGTGGCCGCAGAAAACTTTGCCTAATCACGGAGAAACATCCTGAGACTGTGAAGAGTTACTGTCAGCCAGTGCGCATACGGAATGACCAAATCAAGGGCCAAATTAACAAGAACTATTGATCCTTTTATGAATCATGAATGGTTGGTTCATCTTACTAACCGATAAAAAAAAATTCCTGAACATGCGTGCTCAGTGATAGAATGCATCCCCTTGCCAATTCATTGGAAAATCTGGTTATCTTTAAGCAGTTGGGGATATTGATTTGTAGTTCAGCGACGTTTAGAGCCCCACCGGTTTGTTTTCAAGACTACAAAGGCAGGAGTCGAGCATTCACATTCTCAGATAAGACTGTTGCGAACTAGAGGGCTCAACATCTCATTCAGTGAACGTTGCCTTTCCCCCCCAAGTCCCAAACGGCGAGCACAAAGATAATCCTGAACACGGTGGCAGTTAGGAACAAAACCCATACATGAAAGGGACGGCCGGTGGGCTGTCCTCGGCGGTGCTTGAAATCCAGCTCTTCCGTTCTGCCTCGCAGCAGGCCAGAGGGTGGCCCTGCACGAGGCAGGTGGGGGGGTCACGTCGGGAAGACCGAGGAGCTCTGTGGGGCGAGAGGTGATCGGAAGGAGAGAGGCGGCTGCAGGCTGACAGCGTCGCCCCGCTTCCCCCTCACCAAGCTTGGGCACACTTGCCCTGCCGCGCATAACCAGCCCAGGGGAACCCACGCGGGCAGAAGCGCGAAGCCCCAGGAAACTGACTCAAGCGGATGCCCCGCCGCCCCCCTTTGCCCCGGCGGCGGTGCTCTGAGCACCAGCGCGGCTGAAGCTCCCGAATTCCCGCGGCGCCCGCTTCGCTGGAGTTTCTTCGCTCTCAGAGGCCGTGCGTCTTGTCTGCTGCCTTCCCACGAAAATACACGGCTACCAACCTTTGCAAGTGACCTTGTTTAGCAGCCTCCGTCTGGTAAGTCTGTTTCCTTCCTTCCTTTCTTCCTTCCAAAAGAAAAAGAAAAAGAAAAAGAAAAAAGTCTGGCTCTTGGGGTAGTTAATGACAAGCTTCAGTGCTCCTGTTGAAATCAACGGGGCACGAAAGAGATTAGGTGTGTCTGTGTTGCAGAGTTGTTTTTCTTACCATTAACTGTGGTTACTCCTGAGCAGAGACGCCACCCAACAGTCAGTTCAGGGCCCTGAAGCCCGTAAGAGAGACCTACAGCTGGGCAAGTGATGTTCTTATTAGCTCAGTACCGCATAAATGTTCAAAATTAGGGGTGGCTAGCCTCACCAAACACTGCCTATTTCTACAGGCAGGAGACCTCGAGGAGGACAAAAATCACAGAATCACAGAATGTGTGGGGCAGGGGCCTGATCCTTCGCTTGACACAGGAAATGTGTTCTCCTTATCCACTGGAATAACGTTAGTTTGTGTACACACACACACAACATAATAAAAAGATCAGAGGATTGGTTTATTTATAGGAAAAGAAGATTTTGAGCAAACCCTTTGAAGGGAGGAAGAGAGGTGATATAATTCAGATTGCCTGGGGAAGACTTCAAGTAGCATTACCATATCTGGCTACGAATCTGGACAAAAGCTACATGAGAGCTAAGAGAAACCGAAACTCCAGCTCTTTGCTATCAACTAATGGTCATCCAGACTGTTGCAGGCCAGATCTGATAGTCCTAACCACGGGAGGGTGGGGAAGAGTAGAATCCTTTGAAGGATGGATCTTCACAAAAGCTGGACCTAGAGGAAAAAAGTCACAAACAGGAAGAACGTGTGATATAGCAAACCTTACATACATGTTTTTAATGTAAAGTGCACGTATTTTATTACTGTTAGATAAGTGATAAGCCTTTGTAAAAATGTTTAGAACACTGAGGAGCATTAGAGCTTAACCAAACATCTGAACCCATATATGAAGCTGTATCCACCAACAGATATGACATAATTCTGCCAAAATGTTATCTCTATTATCGTCTTACCTTTCCATTTGGAATTCTTAGCGGCTTTGCTTCGGTTGGGATAAGGGACAGACATATGCCGAACGTCTTGCATCCAGTCTTACAGCAGACTCATTCCCATAAATTAGATTGAACGGATCTAAATTTATTCACATTAAAAGTATATCCATTGAAAGAGGGCCATTGGATCCAGAATTAATCAGACAAGACAATGGGTTAATTCTAGCCAAGATTAAGCCTAGACTTCCCTAAAGCAATTCAAAATAATAATTTAGATTGTGGTTTGAATTACTGCTAAAAATTACAGGAGTAGTGAAAATGATCCAGACATTTTGATAACTTCATAATGGATTGTTAACCAGGACTGGCAGAAATGAACACATTATGTAATTTACACTAGCTATAAGTCTTTTTCTGGTTTTAGTTCAAATGCTGCTGTAAACCTCTAAGCTTGGAATTAGTTCATCTGATGGAATGCCTTCTCCCAGAGTTATTAACCTGGACCCATATATAAGATAACCCATTTGCATGCCCTTCTGAAGAAAACCAAAAACGAAAGCCTTTTCAATATCATCCACTCGTGATAGTCCCCTTTAGCAAAACCTGCTGATGCTTACACTGTAGCTCTTCTCACTTATTTTCCCATGTATTTCTGTCTATTAAAAAATTAAAAATTGGCAGTTGTCCAGGTTCTCAGGGGATTCACACGAAGAATCCAAACCAATATTCTTATAAAGTATGAACGATACCTGTTTGGAAGCTTAACTAAAAATAATGCAATCAAGACCTTCTCATTATTCCTATATTCCTGAAGAGTAACTGGCCGTTCTAAAACTTAGAGGCAGTGATTAAAAAGGTTGATCCTAGGTCACTGTCAGATGAATCTAGGGCTACCAAAGAAAGGCCAGGCCTCACTTCCTGATCTTAATCAGCAGTGGGGATCAGGGAGAAAAGGTGGTCCTCCCAGGCAATTTGGACCTGTGATTTAGATCTGTGTAAGTAAAGCACTTTATGTTTGCTTATAAACAAATAAGAATCCATGTAGTAATTCTAAGACTGAGATGATAGGGACATTTTAGGTTACCCAAGAGATCAATTTGGTTGCCAAATTTTCCATAACTCAATTTTCAAACTGTACACAAGGGCAGTTCCATGTGGAATAGACAGAACCACAGGATATCACCAAGTATATATTGATTTTAGATTTTTTTTTTCCAGAAACAGGCACAAGTGGGTTTATCAGCCAGAGCTAACAAAAGCACTCCTGACTGCTGTTTCAACCTAAGGCAGTGTTTCTCAACCTTGGCCACTTTAAGATGCATGGACTTCAACTCCCAGAATTCCCCAGCCTGGCTGGGGAATTCTGGGAGTTGAAGCCCATGCATCTTAAAGTGGCCAAGGTTGAGAAATACTAACCTAAGGTATCAGAAAAAAAAATACAAATCCAGAAACACTCCCAAACTACATACCTATTCCTTCTTGGGGTGTGTAAACCCATTACAAACAGATAGATTATTCACATCCCCAGAATGAGCAACTCTGCCTTGCTTGGATTCAACTTACTATCCCTCACCCAAACCATTACTTACGACACGCAAACATTAATGAGAAACCATGCCATTTCCCAATGGAGTAACTGAGAAATAGATTTGACATCTCTAACATTCTGGTAGCATCCAGCTCCAGATCTCCAGATAATCTTTCCTAACTGTTTCATGTAAATGTTGAAGAACATTGGAGGCAGAATGGAGCCATGATGGACGCCATGCGATAGCTTCCATTTTGAGAAGCAATGCTACCTGGATTCTACCAGAGAGAAAAGACTGGAGCCACTCCAAGTATTGCCTCTTAGATCATGTCTAAGATGATTTTTTTTCCTTTTTCTAAAATAAAAACTTATTTAAAACACATATAGAACTATAAACTATGAAGGAAAAAAAGTAGCCAAGAGAATATTTGTAGTTAACTTAAGTATTACATTTAGCCATATATTGAAACCTGACCTGTAGATGAGGAAAATCTAATTTGTGTGTTTCCCCATCTGTTGCAAGAATGAATCAGGGAAAAGGGAGATGCCTAGCACAATACTGTAACTTAGACTGAACGGGCAAAGAAAACAGAAAAAAAATGGGTCTCTTCTTAGGTATCAAACAACCTGAAACTGAGAAACCTTCGAGGCCACTATCTACTACATTACTGAAGATAGAGTTAAATCAATATAAGTGAATCTGACTAAATTCATGCAAAATAGTAACAGTACCCTTTTAACGGGTTACTTTTAAAAATATTTACAAATGACTGAAATGATTCTAATTAACGTGGTGTCATTTCTTGTATTATTAAAGCCTAAACTTAGAATTTTAGATATTAAATATTTTACTAATTCTCAGAAGCAAAGCCTAGACCTTGAGTGTCTCAGTTTCATCTTTTATTGAGTTGTTCAGATTTTTAGAACCAAATCCCATTGATTTAAATGGGAACTAGATTTTGAATCTTCTATTGAAATCAATAGGATTCAAACTGGTATTAGAGATCCTATCCTGATCTCTAACTTGCTAGTATCTAAAACAAGACATTCTTATTTGAATCTGCTTGGTTGGCCATTTTCAGTCTCAGAAAACTCAATTTTTTGACTACGCAGCACAATTGTAGAAAATGCAGTGTTGGCACTAAACTGTTGTTGTCATCAGACAAATACAAAGAATGGCCAGCTTAACTGCAAGTCAGAAATGCCATCAGTCCTTCTTTGAGGTATCACATCATTGTTTTTCTTGTTGATTTAAGCAATTCCACTTTCCATATTCTTTCAAGTTCAGTGCTTTTTTCTCCCAAGTTTTTCTGGCTGGCAATTTCCATTTTGATTGCTTCTCAGATCTTCCTTTGTATTTATTGACTTCAAAGACTATGATTTTTGTGTTTACCTACTGTGATCTTCAGTACCACTTTATGCAATGTTCAGTGGGTTTATTTTTTTCAGCCATTAGTCCTTAACAGCCAAGGTTCATGATCACTTACTTGAGGTTAAAGGGAAATTGCCAGTACATGGCTGTCTGGAACAATGAAAGAGGCAGAGTTAAATTTGTTAGCATGAATTGATGGATAATGAAAAAAACAAAAATAAAAAAAACACCTTCTCTAAATGACTACCTGCACCCCTAGTCAACCTGGGCAAGTTTGGTCATCACTTCCTAAGCCCCATCTTTTGGGTCCTTCAGGAACAACTACTAAGCTTATGAATACTAGGGTCCTAGGTATATTCTACCCTCTTTGGGAATATCAAAAACAACGGTGTGCATACTTACCAGTGTGTATACATACGTGCAGAGTATAAATTTTGTAAATGAATGAAAAACTATATAAATACATAAGATCATATTTATTACATAGTTATATTAACAAGCAAACTCCTTACCAGGAATTAAATCTTCAAAAATTAAAATAATTAAGCTAAACTCCACTAACGTCTACGTAACAGTGGCAGCTTGAATAGTCGTTACCTCCTTTCTGACATTACAAACCATTACACAGATATACTTGATTTTACAAAAACATTTGCTTTGTTATAATTGTATAGAAAATGCTAACAGATCTGCATATTTGTAATGTTAAAATGAAAAAATGTGATATACACCCGAACCATACTTAGGGCATAGCTCAGATTCTTGAATTATTTGCTTTTGATGAATTTAAACAGCCTGATATCTTTTTACATATTTTGTACATATATTTTCAGAATGAAATAAAATTGCTACAATTGTAGCAACATCAGCAGTAGCAGAGAACACGGTGTCTCTAATCAAGAATCATCTATCATAGGATTATTTAATAAAATAGTAACGCTGCAGTAAAGTTATAACTTACTAAGTTCATGATCCACTGTACTGTAAGAATTAGCAAAGGCAAAAAACATGTATAAGCATTTCTAATTTAAGTACGTGTCATCCACACCTTTAACGTTCCAGTTATTGCCAGATGAAATGGGATTGTCAGGATTTCTATCTA